TGTATTTGTAGAACAAGCGTTGGCTAAATATAATCGGAGACCCGTATGTAACACTCAGTATTTGGGCTGATCTGCACTTGGAGCTTCACTTCACCCATGTGTCAGATATTCTGTTTCCCTCCCTGTCTACCACATCGCCAGTGTGTTACCCTTTTGGAGTCATGCAGGTTGTTGACGGTACAAGTCACTTCTTAGAGATTTAGTTGGAGTTACTTCAATTTGGAGAGTATTGCAGTTATGTCAGTTTGATGTGGGAGAAGGTCTGATGTCACGCAGGTGTTTGACTTTTGTGGAAACCAGGAGCGTTTGTATGGCTCTGATAACTCCTAAGGTTCGTGATGAACATTGGATTCAAATCCAGGAACTGCGAATCCTTGTAGTGTAGAATCCGAGTGTCAGGTGAGTCAAAGTTGTTTTACGTTACGTCGCAGCTGAAATGAACAATTCGAATCTGGACCAGTGGTCAATAGCATGTACAGCGAAACACGTTCTTTGGTCATAGATTGAGACCATCCTCGTCGTTGTCTCGTCCCGCTGACACAGGAACACTTGACGTACATGTCCATTATCAAAACATGGTTCATAATCTTCATAGGTCATAGATTGAAACCATCCTCATTGTTGTCTCGTCCCTCAGACACAAGAACACTTGATGTACATGTCCATTATCAAAACATGGTTCATAATCTTCATAGGTCACAGATTGAAACCATCCTCGTGGCTGTCTCGTCCCTCAGACACAAGAACACTTGATGTACATGTCCATTATCAAAACATGGTTCATAATCTTCATAGGTCATAGATTGAAACCATCCTCATCGTTATCTCGTCCCTCAGACACAGGAACACTTGATGTACATGTCCATTATCAAAACATGGTTCATAATCTTCATAGGTCATAGATTGAAACCATCCTCATCGTTATCTCGTCCCTCAGACACAGGAACACTTGATGTACATGTCCATTATCAAAACATGGTTCATAATCTTCATAGGTCATAGATTGAAACCATCCTCGTCGTTGTCTCGTCCCTCAGACACAAGAACACTTAATGTACATGTCCATTATCAAAACATGGTTCATAATCTTCATAGGTCATAGATTGAAACCACCCTCTACGTCGTCTCGTCCCTCAGACACAAGAACACTTGATGTACATGTCCATTATCAAAACATGGTTCATAATCTTCATAGGTCATAGATTGAAACCATCCTCGTCGTTGTCTCGTCCCGCAAACACAAGAACACTTGATGTACATGTCCATTATCAAAACATGGTTCATAATCTTCATAGGTCATAGATTGAAACCACCCTCTACGTCGTCTCGTCCCTCAGACACAAGAACACTTGATGTACATGTCCATTATCAAAACATGGTTCATAATCTTCATAGGTCATAGATTGAAACCATCCTCGTCGTTGTCTCGTCCCGCAGACACAAGAACACTTGATGTACATGTCCATTATCAAAACATGGTTCATAATCTTCATAGGTCATAGATTGAAACCATCCTCGTCGTTGTCTCGTCCCTCAGACACAAGAACACTTGACGTACATGTCCATTATCAAAACATGGTTCATAATCTTCATAGGTCATAGATTGAAACCACCCTCATCGTTGTCTCGTCCCTCAGACACAAGAGCACTTGATGTACATGTCCATTATCAAAACATGGTTCATAAATAAATTTTGAATAACTATTTTTCAATGTATTAAATGTAATAATGAAAAGACTAACTTACTACACGTAGTACAATTAATAATATAATCAATCACTGGTTTGTCTGGTCTAGACTCGAATATTTACAGGCCACTGTAATAAAGCGGGAATAGTGCGGCGTAAAACAACAATCTCAGTCTCTTTATTCTGACGAGATACCATTCTGTATAAATTGATATTGATATTCGTTTGTATAATCAAAATAGTACTATCACATTAAATTTCAGTAGATGAAAATACATAAGGAAAGGCGTGTTCGTGAGTTTAATATCATTTAAACAATAACAAAATACATTCCACGCAATACTTTCTGAATATGAATAATGTTAAATTACACTGAAACTGCTCTCAATATATAGTTTATGTCGGTGCAAGTGCATAGTCCCGAAAGAATATATTTTGTCAATATAGTCCTATGTCGAACCTCCGCTTCTCTCGAACAATGGATAGCTCCATACTATTTCCGACTTCGAATTAACAAAGTTTCACTGTATTTTAGTCCATCGTATTTCAGCTATGCAAAGACTTTGTTTTCAACATTCATTCGTGTCAATAGAAAGTGTATATCAGCTAAACAAATAATACCTACAAATTACTGAACATGGTAGAAGGGAAACGCTGAAACGTAATCAATATCTTCGCCTCGCAATCACACAGACAGATAACGGTTAAATCACGACTAACACACCGTGCTTATAGCCTCGCTACACTGGTCGATATCGACATGGACATCTTGTCAATTAATGTGACAAGTTGACAGCTGGCTTGTCAATTACAAAGGAACGTTTATCTCATATTGAACACAGGTAAGTGGGATTACTGCACGGGGATTTGGACTCCGAGATTAAAATTCTGTCTATTCTGCGAAGATAATATCTAAGTTACCACATTGGTTATTGAGCCAATGCGTGCATTAGAAGTTAATCGGGTTTAGATTAACTCTCGAAGTATATACTTTGAGAATAAAAATTGCCAGTATTTATGATGAATTCGGAAAAGGTGGATTTAATATTTTATGGTAGGTAGCCTTTTTAGATTTAAACGTTATTAGTATCACTGGTATAAGAACCACTACGACGTATGAATTATTCCTATCTGTTTGTTCCAAAGGCTATGTTATTTCATGTTGTTGGCCTGGGAGGCCGAACAGTCGTGTTTATCGAATTGACCAATGTCCGGTGCAATACATCGATGGCAAGTTAAGATATTGATCGATCTATGATCCGTAGTTTTGATATTCATTAATTAAATGAAAGATGATGCAAATGAACGCCCATAGTCAGAGCTCGGCTGTTGAAGTCATGACAAATGTGTTTTTGGCAAGCATGTATCCACTCAGATTACGTTCATAACTTTATTAGGGTTCCCCTTAAAGTCCTACCAATCTGTGGAACCGTGTTAATGACTCACATTGAGTAAAGGTTAATGTACTCATCATATAAGATACTACCGTAATGACTGTAACCAGTCCCGAAAGACATTGTTAAAAACGTATTTAAACGGGAAATATAATATTTTTGTGTTTCTGTCTGTTGGTTAACGCCTGAGTCAGCAATATGCAAGCTATATCATGACAGCCTGTAAATTTATAGTCGAGTCTGGACCACACAAGCCAGTGATTGATGTTATGAGCAACAATCCTATTTATCGCGTTACGTTAGCATTCCAATCATCCCAGTCAGAGAGCCTGGCCACCCGATCCCGTTAGTCGCCTCTTCCGACAAGCATAGTCACCTTTCACACAAGCATTGGTTGCTGAAGACCTATTCTATCCCGGATCTTCACGGGGCTATCGTCAAGGCGAATTTATTCACCGAAGGCGTTCAATTTTCTGTTTCTTTGTTTAAGGATCCACAGACCCTAAACATTTGTTTTGTTAACAGATCATCTTAATAATTTAGCATAGTACTTATAAACAAGAAATCACACATTGTTCCTCAGATAAATGATACATGTTCTATTACATGTACTAAGTTTATTTGTATTGTTATTTCGACCACTGACCAAATGTGAAAATCCGTAAACGAAACTAATAAAAGAAAAAAAAGGTTTTTGTATTAAAATCAATCAGTTGCTCAGTCAAATATGGCAACAATTGCCGTCACCTTTGAAAATGACGCCCATTCCTAAACAATATCGGACCAGGGACAATAATGTTCAGAAACTAAGGCGTTCGTGTGTTTTTTCAAGGGCGGCATATCATATGTTTATCTTTTGTAACAATACAATATGCGGTTATTAATAACTAACAAAGCGACTGTGGTTAAACGCACAGACTATCACGTGTTATATCACAGACTTTTATGTTGTGTGGCACGTTATTACACGCATACACACAATGGGTGAGCATGTTTTGATACAAAGTCACTTAGTCACTACATATGTTAGATACAATACAACACACACGTACAACTTACAATACAACACACGCAAGAAGCTCGCCTATACAACTGGTCAGAACTACCAAGTATAATGTATACTCATTCGTCTCTCAGATCTGCATTCAACAACGAAATAGTCAGTCGACTACACTACATTCCATAAGTAACTTCCACCAGTTAGGGGAAATGTTCCCAGTGCTAACGCGGCACTATCACGACAATATCACTTTTGCAGCTCTATTCGCGACATTCAGAAAACAATTTTGAAATTCAGTGGCTGTGTACGAAACCATACAGTTCATGGTAATAACCAATCGTCCCTGGTTATAATGCCAACCTGGTTATAATGCCAAGCTGGTTATAATGCCATGTTTTCTCCGCGTATTTCCGCAGGCTCGCTGACTTGGTCGACCCATGTCATCGTATTCCAATTGCGTGGATCGATGCTCATGTTGTCAATGACAGGATTGTCTGGTCCAGACTCGATTATTTACAGACCGCCGCCATATACTAGTAGCTATATATCACGTCAGTAAGGTTTTTCAGCTCCCTCGATATAATGCCACAATTTCCGAAAGGTGGCGTTATAACCAAGGAGGTGAGTGAGTGAGTATGGTTTTACGCCGCTTTTAGCAATATTCCAGCAATATCACGGCGGGGGACACCAGAAATGGACTTCACACATTTTACCCATGTCGGGAATCGAACCCGGGTCTTCGGCGTGACGAGCGAACGCTTTAACCACTGGGCTACCCGACCGCCCTATAACCAGGGAGGCCGTTTGATTGAAAATAATCTCACTTGTTCCCCTGTTCACACATTTACTCCATTACACACAAGTATAATCTGTATATATTGAGCGAGAGAAACTAACAAGACTTATATCATGTTTCAGGGTTAGCGACAGGCGACTAGGAAAGGCGCGAGAATCTCACAGGAGTACATCCGTCCCTCCAAAAACAGCGCCATCTTTAATTCCGTTTGGCTCCCTTTCGACAAAGTCACATGACCCAGACAGTGTCAGTGTTAGGAGCAATGACTCTCGGTCAAGTGCAAACGGAAGCTCTCAACGGTTATGTGTGACGTCACTTGTGCTAAGGAAAGATAACTCCTCTGCCTTGAATTCTCGACAGGGTACGTTTGTAAGAAGCAAGACTGAATATTACGATTATGCGTCTTCCAATGGAATGTTGACTTCGCCTCGACGGAGAATGTACAAGAGGAGTGACAGAGTTATCGTTCCTTCCAAATATGGCTACCACCCTCGAAGCCATTCGCCGACCTTCAAATGCCTTATTCAAGCCTCGGATAAGTTAAGTCGTCTGCTAGGCACGGTGACCCGGTCAGTGGTCACGTCTACAGCCTCCTCAGACACAGATGGGACCAGTGCTCAGGATAGTTCGACCCTTGACGACACAGACAGTCAGTCCAATCAGTCGTTAGACCTGTATGACGTCGCGATTAAATCATATAAAGGTTATAGGTCAAGTCATGACCCAAGGTCAGAGTTCAAAGGTTTCGAATCTGATCGTCCAATAGGAAAACATCACGTGACACCTCGAACGTTCTCGGATAATATCAAAGTGGCTTACAGACAAAATGGCGTTCAGGGTACTGAGTTGCATTTATTTTTACCAAATATTGTGCCTAGTTCCGGCGACTGCAACGACCAGTCTCCAGAACCTCAAAGTGATCAGGAGACCGATACAATGTCTTCCAAGGCATTGCCAACGTTGAACAACAAATTAAACTATCTGAACTCAACAAAACCCGGCAACGGAATTCCCAAACGGACTCGTGTAATATCGAGGCGTACTTTGTCTCCTGCGAAACCCCTTAATAAGGATAAGCAACGAAAAAGCCGTAACTTTGAAGAAAGAGAGCCATTTATTCGGGGAGAAAGTCTGAAAGAAAGACTGGACGATTTTCCAACGTTAGTTTCTTTGGATACCAGCTAACACATTTCTTCTGACATGTCTTCACCGAGGTCGCTCTTGTTTGTTCTTCTGTAGATTGGTAATCAAATTAGCGAAAGAGTGTCATATCCAGCACAGTTTCTTTAAACTTGATGTTCAGCGGAGCGGTAGGCTGGTGGTTGAGTGAGTGAGTATGGTTTTACGCGGCTTTTAGGAATATTCGAGCAAAATAACGGCGGGGGACACCAGAAATGGGTTTCACACATTGTACCCATGTTGGGAATCGAACTGGGTCTTCGGCGTGACAAGCGAACGCTTTAAACCACTGGGCTACCCGACCGCCCCGCTAGTAGTTGATGCCCCAAATGGGTACAGTGCGTGGATCAAATTTCTGGTGTCCATCACCGTGATAATGGTGGAATATTGCTGATAACTGCGTAAGACCACTTCCACCAACTCTCATTAGTGTAAAGTAAAACGGTTAAGGATATAACTAAATTAAAACATTAGTTGGCCCAGATATATTTTATCGCGTCAATTCCAGTTTTGATTGGGAGACGTTTTCAGCCACCAAAAAGGATACCGTGAAAAGGGAATAAATAACCCAACCCAAGTCAAAATGTGGCTCATATTTTAAGAGCGATGCCGTATGTTCTCAACTCAACTTGAAGAGTTTAACATTCCCTCAAACTTGGCAAGCAAATTGCAACATCCTATTTGGTAAAAATGCAGACTAGCTAAGGCCAGGTTCACACAGTGCCGATTATGGCTCCCGTTTGAGATCAGACAGCGCTACAACACGAAAAGTGAAAGAGTCGATTACTTGGTTGGCTGGTTGGCTTGTTGTTTAGCGCCGCACTCAGCAATATTCCAGCTATATGACGGCGGGCTGTAAATAATCGGGTCTGGACCAGACAATCCAGTGATTAATATCATGACCATCAATCCACACAATTTGGATCGATGACATGCCTCAACCAAGTCAGCGAGCCTGACCACCCGATCCCGTTAGTCGCCTCTTAGGACAAGCATAGTCGCCTTTTACAGCAAGCATGGGTTGCTGAAGACCTTTTCTACCCCGGATCTTCACCGGTCGGCTAAAACTGAAACAAGCAATGGTGATGAATTTGATACGGGTATCATAGGTTTTTTTTACCTTATATTTGCAGTGTTTCGGCGATTGTTTCCAGTCTAGTAACGTTTTGATAACGTTTCTGTTTTTGGTCAAATTCAATTCAAAATTCAAATACATACGTTCTTTTGTCCGACAGTTTAGATACAAACATGGGACATGAAACCAAATCTACGACCTCGTATCTCCCCTTTCATAACATCTTCTTTACAGAGATAGCAGCGCCAATGCTAGCACAAAGACTGTTGGACTAATCTGTTTGTTTAACTGAACAGGTTTAACGTGTGAAAAAATCACATGAAGCCTCGCAGGGATTCCAGGTTAGAATTTGGCCCCAGCAACCTATGCTGGCCGTAAGAGGCCGTAAGACCACATGGACAGAGTGGTCAGGGCCCTTCTACCCCGATGGCATGGATCGGTGCTGACAATATCGATCACTGGATTGTCTGGTTCAGACTGGAGTATTTCCAGACCGCCGTTTTATAACTTAAATGTTGCCGAGTACGGCGTTAAACAACAAACAGACAACATAGTTAGAAGAAATAGTTCTATTGTATATTACAGCTAGTTGTTGCTATAATTAGTGTTCATCAAAAGATGAAGCAGACATCCACCGTTGATATTACTCTTTAGACGGATAATAATCCTTAAACACCATATCAAAAATCAAAGTCACCATGTCGAAAAACGAAAAATGTTAAAACGAAAGTAGATTTTTTAATTTTTTTATGTAAATCAAGTGACATGTATTATACTATGTACATGTTTTGTGGTCTTGAAATCGGAATCATTTTGACCTGCCCAACAGATTCATTTTTTTTATACTTTCGGAAACAAAGAAGAATTTTGAAATCAGGGTAGGACAGAATTGGCAAATGAAATCGCGAACTTGTCACTGGTGACTGAAATCGTAACGTGACAGTTTAATGGTGGGGCGGAAGAATACATTATAGCTAATGTGATGTAAACTGCCGGACACAAGAAAGTATACAACAATGGCGGCTTAATATGAAACAAACAAGAAATGGTTATCCGGTGGTGATGTATTTTATACGGGTATCATACTTGTGTTTTGGACCTTAAGTTTGCAGTGTTTCGGCGTCTGTTTTCAGCCTAGTAACGTTTGGATAACGTTTTGGTCAAATCCAATGTTCAGATTATACATTTTTTTGCCCGGTAGGTTTTTTTTGCTGACGAACATGGTTTAAATGTCATTGACTGACCGAGGAATAGTTCCACCGGGTATATTAATTTTATAGAAGTAGTTGGTAGACATATCGGGTATGTCATGTGCGGGTGTCGAATTGTTAACAGCCCAATAACAGTAAAATCAGATATTGCTAGCTCTTCCGTAAAGATCCGATTTTAGTGAGATTGGTTACCAGCTGAATATGTATCAATATTTTTTTACATTGAATCTATTTTGACGTTTCGTCTGAAGATAATCTTTGAAATGTTATTTAAGTCAATAAACTTGTTCACTGAAGGAGTTTTGTTGGAAAAGACCAATAATGTTTTTTTAACTTTAATTTGAAAGTTGTTTGCTTATTTTTTGGCGGCAGTATGTGAAGAGTATCAACCTCCTCCTCCTTGGGCTTGACTGAGAATGGAAGCCCGGGGCAGAGGCATATTGGAAAGGGCCTTTGCCGTCGGCCCTTCCCAGTAACACTCTTTGCCCCGGGATTACATTTTCAGTCAAGACCGAGGAGGGGCTGTATATCCAATCGTCTTAGTGCAAGAAATACCACAAAAAATAAGAAGACTTCGGGGTACTATATTGTGACACAATACAGTGCTTCGCGGTATAAAATGATTTCGATGAAAGGGTACGAGAGAAAGACCACGTGCAGCATGCACACAACTGAAGTCATGACATGTGTGATTGATCACCCTTTCATCACCTGCCCTGGTGGCTCAGTGGATTACAAAACTAAGTACGTTATATGAGGTAGCAGGCTCGATTCACGCCCGCCGTTTAATGAAAATACAATTGTGACTTTTAACCAATCAAAATTAGATTCATATCAAAAGGTTAGTTTATAAGGTTAAAGGGTAAATTCTTAAAGCCGGGGCATTCTGGTAGATTCGGAATCAGCATACTGTGTCTGGTTAAGGTATTCATATTAAAACTGCGGCATGGTATCTCAAGCGGATGTTATATTTCATTTGCTCTTCGTCAAACTCGGACGCGTCCCGAAACTTCATCACAGGGATTTGAGTGAGTGAGTGAGTGAGTACGGTTTTACGCCGCTTTTAGCAATATTCCAGCAATATCACGGCGGGGGACACCAGAAATGGGCTTCACAAATTGTACCCATGTCGGGAATCGAACCCGGGTCTTCGGCGTGACGAGCGAACGCTTTAACCACCAGGCTACCCGACCGCCCCCACAGGGATTTGAAGATACACCGATTCATACCTTGACAGTGAGCTAGCGATACAATGAAAGCGACCGAATGTTCTTTACCGCCACTCAGCAATATCATTGTTGTACATTATCTGGTCTGTAGCAGGTAAACTAGTGACTGAAAGCATGAACAATGAGCCTCAATATCGGGGTTGATGACAGACAACCTGTCAAGTGACAGAGCCTGACTGTCTTATCTCTTTTAGGCCAGGTTCACACAGTGCCGATTATGGCTCCCGTTTGAGATCAGACAGCGCTACCACACGAAAAGTGAAAGAGTCGGACAACTTGGTTGGTTGGTTGGTTTGTTGTTTAGCGCCGCACTGAGCAATATTCCAGCTATATGACGGCGGTCTGTAAATTCTACATTGCTGTAAATTTCTATCCTCAATGATCTGGAATATCCTTGTCTGAACGCAATCGTATACGTTCATAACAGAGTCCAACGGATCGGGAAAGGTCCAGAGAGGTCGGCCAAGCACTCCCGACAGTATGGTGCGTCCCGTAACATTCGGGAAACTCAGCCGATATTGTCAAGTCGGATTACAATCGTGACTATGTCGTGACAGATTCTGATTCATAACAATGTCCTGTGTTTCAGGACGGTGTCCTGTGGATCGGGACGCTGTAGTGATGGAGGGGCATGAATTGTTCATTGCCGTTTCTTGTCGATTGACTCCAGATTGGGTCCAATCTCGCCGAATGCCAACCGTCTTTGTCGGTTCACTATCCGATCACTGTCTGATCTCTGTCGGGTCGCATTCGGGAGAATCGGGACGCTGCCGGGACCGATTCGGTCGTTTTGTACCATGCGGTAGATACAACGGGATTGAGAACGGGAGAGTCACTCACTCCAGCATTGAAGAGCTGTTAATGACGGCGCATTTGACCACGTATTTGAATGTATAAAGTCCCACGCCTGTAAGCGACACCTGCAAATACACGTGACTGAAACATCAGTGCATGTTTAACTCAACGTTATGCTGCACGTGCATACCTTGCGGTATTGGTAGATATCTCAATAGGGAATAGTTTTCCCCGAAGTTATGGTGGGGTACGGGGCGGTCGGGTAGCCTAGTGGTTAAAGCGTTCGCTCGTCACGCCGAAGACCCGGGTTCGATTCCCAACATGGGTACCATGTGTGATGCCCATTTCTGGTGGCCCCCGCCGTGATATTGCTGGAATATTGCTAAAAGCGGCGTAAAATCACACTCACTCACTCTGGTGGGGTACACAATTGAACCACATTTCGCCAAGTTGTTTTGGACATGAATAAACAATTCCTTTCAAAAAGTGGTAAAATGTAATTATATGTTTTATTTGCGATAAAAGTTCTTAGAAAAGTACACATCCTAGTACTTGTTTGGGTGGTGTAAAATTCGGGATTCGAGCCCACAGTAAGGCATTTTTGTAGAGTGCGTGGTAATTATCATTTTATTTTATTTTTTGTTCATAATCGAGTCTGGACCAGACAATCCCGTGATTGACACCCGGAGCATCCATCTACGCAAAAGGAATATGATGGCATGCGTCAATCAAGTCAGCGAGCCTGACCACCCGATCCCGTTAGCCCAATGTGTATGAATATTATATATTCTGAGGAACATATGTAACAATAGAATTGACAAAAGAGTTGCTTAAATCATTACATTAATAGATAGGTAATCGTGTTGGCTCGTGGAACCAAATATGATCCGATATTTGTAAATAACAATTCGAGAATATTTTACAGCAGCTTCAACAAGATGGACCTCAATGACTAAGGGAAATAACTCCTGCGGGCCTGCCACTCTTTCAATATCAATGCTCAAATGTTCGAGTGGTTGACGCATTGCCAGGTGAGATGAAATGGGGTTTGAAGTCGGGTTCTATGTTTTTGCACTTATGTAGTGTGTTGGTAGTTGCTTGTTTTAGTCATGACTAATGCCGGTGTTGTAGTGCTAAGATACCATGCCGCAGTTAAACATGAATACCTCACTCAGACCAATACTGACTCCGCGCCGACCAGTCCTTGTAATACCCCTTAATGCCAAGAGCCAGGCAGGGTAACAATGGGTACGAGGGGCTAAGTCTGGGCTGTACGGTGGGTGATTTAACTGTACAGCCCAGACTTAGCCCCCAGTGACTATTTCCTGCTCCCGCAATTGACATCTGCCCTACGTGGAAGACGCTTCCAGGATGACGAGGACATAAAGGCTGCCACAGAGGCGTGGTTAGAGGGCCAATCTGCAGATTTCTATGAAAGTGGTATTAAAAGCTTGAAGGACAAATGGAATAAGTGTATTGAGGTGAATGGAGATTATATTGAAAAATGAAAGTGCAAAAGATATTCTACGACTTGGTCTTATATTGAAGTTGCAAAACTT